TCTATTACTTTTATTGTGATTATTATCCCATCAAGCTCTTTCGGATAACAACTCTCCACCACACAAAGAAGTGGTAGATGAAAAGGACACCCATTCAAATGTCATTTTATAGGTCGTTTCCTTATACCTCTCTTATAGTGTGGCTTCATAAACGAGGTCTATTATTAATTTGATTGACTTTATGTTATACATATTGTTGGATTAGGTGTCTAAGTCCATAACTATTTTTGTATGTATTTGACCCGATTATGAGCATGGTCCTTTTGGGTTGCCTTCACCATAGCAACTGATAGGATGAATTAAGGAGAAAGAGGATTAATTAATGATTTATTAATATACTATGTGAATAATATATTAAAGGAGAAATCATATTGTTTAATTAAGATTGATCAAGAATTGATTTTGCGGTCAAAAGAGATTAATTAAATTAAGGGGGTTGATACTGTAATTATAAGATAGTTACAGAGTTGGGCTTAAGATCCATAAGGAAGCAATGGATGAATTCTATATGGGAGTCCATATAGAAATCGTCCAAGGGGCCTTCTGGAAGGATCTTTGGGCTGCTTAAGGACTAAGTAACTGGATTAGGGTTTCCAAGTTGAAAACCCTAGTAGCCTTAACTATATAAGGACCCCTAAAGCTCCCAAAAACGTGGCTAAGCATTCCTAAGAGTATCTTGGACATTTTTGGTGCCTCTCCTCTCCTCTCTCTCTCTCTCTTTTCTCTCTCTCTCTCTCTCTCTCTTATTCATTCTTGTTGCTTATGGTGTTTGTGACTCCATTAGAGGTGCAACACTTGGGGCACTAGGATTTCAGAAGTCAAGACCAAGAAGGTTTGTGATTGTTATTGCTACATAACAATTAATGTAATGTTCCTAACCCTATTCATATGTGATTTTCGGATTTGTATGCTACTCAATTAGGGTTTATTGCTTCGGTATTCAATGTTGTATGTTCAAATTAGAAAAACCTAGATCAAAGCAATTATGGTTGCATGAACACCATAAGAATGATGTTATGCTCATAATCCATCAGTAGTATCAGAGCCTAGGTCGTTTTCTATTTGAATAGATGCAAAAATGAACTGCTAAAGGATAAAAAAGTTGGATTTTTGTTGTCTGTACAGCCGACTCGGCGAGTAGCATGAACTCGGCGAATCCAAGGTGTAGTTGTTGGGATTTTCGATTTTTTGAGCAGTTTTTGATGAGGATAATTACCTAAACTCGTTTTTCTTGCCGAAAATCGATTTTTCATGTTTGGAATGGTTATCCTTATTAAGATTGATGGATTTGGTTAAATATGGATAATATAGAATTATTAAAAGTCAAATATTTGACCTAGTAAGTTTGAAAAGTTTCAATTTACACCCTTAGGTTTTATAGTTTAAATTTTAACTTAAAATTTTTAGTTTTTGAAATTTAAATAGTTAAAACCTAACATTTTTGAAAAGTTTCAAAAGTTGTCCTCAAGTTTTGGAATTTAAAATTTAATTAAAAGGTCTTGATTTTGAAATATTAAGTTCTAAAACCTTTGTTGTAACAGCCCAAAATTTCCAAGTATTTATTATTGGCTTATTTTTTTGGAAATTGTGAGTGGACTCGGCGAGTTGGAGCTCAAACTCGCCGAGTAGGATCGCAGTATTGGGCACGGGTTCGCGTCCGGACTCGGTGAGTCCAAGAGTGGACTCGGCGAGTCCACGCTGTGTGATGAAACCCTAATTCTCGAGGTTTGAGACCTATTTAAAGGGCCTTATGGCCGTCATTTGTGCTCACCAATCCATAGAGAGAAACCCAAGAGTGCTTGAGCGTTTTGAGAGAGAAAGGAAGCCATTCTTGACCTTTGTAGTGTTATTTCGCAAGGAGAAGGAGGTCATAACCAAGAAGAAGCATAGGAGATTGCTATACTGTGGATTTGAAGCTCAGATCTTCGAACTTGAGGTATTATTTCAGCTCATCTTCTATTTGATGAAGTATATTTGGATTTAGGGTTTCTTGTGGCCTTTATTAGGTTGATTTGATGCCAAATAGTCCCTTTCCAATGTTGAGGCTTTGGATCTAGATCCATAAAGGTCCAGAGAGCCTCACTCATCAAGCTTTATGAAGAGCAATGGAGATTATGAACTTGAGTTGTGGTATTTGGGACTAAATCATCATATATGGTCATATAGATGTTGTATGTACATCAAGATAGTTACTTTACGTGCTAAATAAGCTTGGAAGGACTGGATCTATGAGTTAATGGACCGGATCTGACCTTAGGAGCGAGTTTGAGTCATTGCATGGCATGGACTCACCGAGTCCGAAGAACAGACTCGGTGAGTAGCATGAATATTGCCCAGCACCACACAGCGAGTGGTCTTGCCGAGTTGAGGGTTTGACTCAGTGAGTCAGGGAGAGTCGTAGTGGGTTGACAGGTGGACTGGGTCAAGCTGGGACTCGCCGAGTTGTTCTTGAGACTCAGCGAGTTGAGTCGTGGTGGCCCCACAACTCATTCCAGGTGGAACTCGTCGAGTTAGGAGAATACTCGATGTGTCAAGAGAGGATCCCAGGGAAATCAGTGTATGCGCTTAGACTCGCCGAGTCGTTATAGTGCACTCGCCGAGTCCGCTCAAAGTTGACCGTTGACCATTGACCAGTGTTGACCTATGTTGACTTGTTAAGGGATAGTCAACCTTAGTTGGGAAAGTGTTAATTAGAGATGTATTGTGTTATAGGAGGACTATAGCTCGGGAGATCGAGCACTAGTGATTTCAGGGATTTACGAATTACCGAGACACGTGAGGTGAGTCTTCTCACTATACTTTACCTTGAGTAGGTAACCAGAGTTATGTGACAGAGTATTTGTATGCTATGTATGTTATGTGTTGTACTGCATTATTTCTATGTGATTTATGTTGTGCATGTTTACAGAGTTAGAACCGGAAGGTTCACAGAGTTAGAACCTGAGGGTTCACAGAGTTTGGGTGCACGGATCCACAGAGTTATAGCCTCGAGTGGCTAATATGTGTTATATGTGGTATTTTGGGGAACTCACTAAGCTTTGTGCTTACAGTGTTTGATGTTATTTGTTTAAGGTACTAGTGACGACCGCGGGAAGGCGCCGGCTTGATCAGTACACACGCATGGGGTTTATAATTTTGGAGATCTTGGGATTTTGTATTACTCGGATTAAATGATTAAATATGGTTGTTTTCTGAATATTAAATGAATTATGTTTTATAAAAATTTGAATTTTTTTTTTGAAATTTACGGTGTTACATTTGTATTTTGAAAAGTTCAAATTACACCCGTATGGTTTTATTAAATTAATTAAATGTGTAATTAAAAGAGAGTTAATAAATCCATAATTTAATGGTTTATATATAATAAAATTAAAGATATAATTTATTAGATTAAACCACCTAGTATTTTAAAAGTGTAAAATACACCCTTATAATATATAAAATTAAAAGTATGATATTATATATGTATGAGTAAAGAGTATGTCTTATCGTTAGTAGGCCTCATTCACGAAGCTGGTTTATAAGGGGTGTCTAAGAAGTGGTCTGTAAAATGACTGCCATTGGGTATCCACTCTTACCGACCGCACTCTTGACTAGTGGAGGTCCTTTAGCCGAACGGGTAGGATAGGACACAACATTCCATTATAAGTATAATGAAATACAAAGTAACTAAACACCTTTACAAATTCCCAAATCTTAGTTACTTTAGGAAAAATGTGGAATTGGTGCTAATCCATGAAATTTTACATTGCATCTTGTTGGTCGTTAGTGTATGTGTGTGGTTAACCAACACACTAATATGAGACCAATGAAAGATGGCAATGGGTAGCCCGTAGATTATCATAGATAAATGGAGCGTATGTGGTTAACCGACACATTGATTAGGTGATGGACGTCTTCGAGAGTACCAAGCTAATTTGCATGGTTATCCACACCTTGTTTGTGATCCTTGGCATTCCAGTCACAAACTTGAAGAGCATAATCGAGACTAAACATGCCATTGAAAAGTTCAATGAATCTCAAAAGATCTAGGAATTCAATTCATTTAAAACCTAATTTTCAATTTTCGTTTTTCATGGTGGAAATTGGTAAATCGTCATTTAACTACCTTCAAATATTTTGCAGCTGGATTACGGCATCCCTCTTCCCACTACTAGAAAAACAGCCTTTTATGACGCGCAATGTGTGTCGTAAAACGCTCAGACGATGTGCAAATGTGTGTCAAGGAAGGCCCTGTCATAACGGGAGACGACACACTTTTGCGCGTCGTCTATTTATGACGTGCATTTACGACGCACATTTATGACACGCATTTACTACGTGCAGTTATGACACGCAATGCATATCAAGGAAGACCCTGTCATAAAGGAAGACGACACGCATTTGCGTGTTGTAACCTTACGATGCACGTGTTTTTGACACGCAATGCGTATCAAGGAAGCCCCTGTCAAGAAAGGTCATTTCATAAATGAAGATGACACACATTTTTGCGTATTGTAATTTTAAATGTTTGAAAAAAATTATTTATAGATTAACTAATTTTCAAATTAAATTTGCATTTAATGTCTCATAACAAAAAAAACATATACAAAAAAATACAATATATTGCATAAAATTTAATGTCATACAAATAATCGATCCATAGAAAGATAAAAAAAATCAATAGAAGTTGTTTTCTCCCTATACATGATTATCACATACTAAATAACAAACTTTATTTCAAATTCATACATATGATTACATTATTCATTAAAAAAAACATATACCTACATCTTCGCCTAAAATGTTATTACATGATGCAAGTTGGCCACTTCATTGATGGATCACCAAGAGGAAGACCAACAACTGCCCTAAAATGTTCCATGATGAGCCCATACTCATGTCTTGTTACTTTAAGCATTTAATAAAGTAAAATACCTCCTAAAAATAAAATTGCACAAGAAACAACACATCATAATGAGAAATTACTAACATGAATGGAAGTACACTATACATTTGTTTTAACAAGAGTAGCATGGACGATCAGGCGCTATAAGTTTGTCCAAGCTAGCAAACAAAGACTGCATGCAAACCAAAACATACGTACACTATATGACAGATATGATAATATTGGATTAATAAAATATTTAAGAAAACGGAAGGGCAGATTTGTAAATTGTAATTGAACCTTCTCTGTGGATTCAACTTTGTTCTCGGCTCCTAAAGTTTCAGCGGTGGTGCCTCTTGTTTGGCGCCATATACAAGCTTCATCTAGTGGCTCCACAAACTCTGTATCTTGAGCGATTTCTACTTTCATCCGTATGTCTGTCCTGCCTGTTTGTTTCATAACAACACACCATACTTTTACCTAATATTTTTTTTACTAAAGAAAAATAGATACAATGGTGAAGTGAAAGAGCATGTAGATAGAGACAGTTAATTAATTACCTGGTAACAAGCTGAAATGTTGAATATGATCCACGGGAAGTCCCAAGACACCAGAGCCACTGTCACATTGGTAGAACACATGATCAAAAGATTCTCCAAGAAAATAAATCGGCTTATTTTGGGACAAATTTTGATCAATCTTTACACTTTCTTCCACAATTTTAATCAACCCTTCATGCAAATATAAGGGTAAAATGGTCATTTACTCTCTCATTTGGTTCCTTGAAGTATCACATCCAATTAGTATCACAATTAGTAAGTAAATATAAGCATATCTTGCAGGGGTAAAATGGTAATTTGTGTAATTTTATAACCAAACACAAATTACCAGGCAAAATGATTGTTTTTTTGTTCCAGAGACTAAATATCCCTGTGGAAATTCCTGATTGTAGACAAAGGCTAGGCAGGAGACAAATCTGTCATTGAATATAGATGCATACATTGTTACTATCTTATGACATCCTTTTCAGACATATGATCTCTATGTTTTATGAAATAAAATAACTTGATGATGTTTTCTAAAAATTGTTTTATGAATTGTTATATCAAAAATGAAAATTTTGGTCCGCATTTTTGGGATGTTACAAGTTGGTATCAGAGTTTTGGTTTGAGGGATTCGGACACACCTTCAAGGTGTCTGGACTCGAATAGAGGGTTCAAAAGATTTTTTCAAGAAAAATATTTTTAAAAAAAATTTAGAATAAAGAGTTATGAGAAAGAACAAGGTGTGTGATGCGTGCAATCGGCCGAGCTCAAGTAAGTTTTCCCCAAAATACCCATACATGTTTGCAATGATATATGATATGATTATGAGAACTGCATGCTAGATTAGGGCTAAGGATCTAGGAAGGATGCCTTATTTGCCTGTTGTATGAGAATGGCATGCTAGATTATGGCTAAGGATCTAGGAAGATGTCTGATATGCCTGTTGTATGTGCTTATTGAGCTTCATGATACTACGGATTAGTCAGTGATATGATAGCTTGAATAAGAGATGTTTGGTTTGGGTTACTTAATGCCCGAATGTTGCTTGCTTTGTGCTTTTAGGATTCTAGCTATCTTTAAATAACTAGTAAACAAATATGTTAAATTACATATTACGAGGACTAAATAATTTTAGAAGGTTAGGTTTACCCCTATTTTGCAGCTCTCATCTGAATCTAACCATTGTAGGGAGAGACCTCTCATTCAAAAATTATCTGGTCTTAGTAATATATAATAGTATTCATGAGCTAGTTAGCGAAAGGTAGCATGGACTTATTATGCAGCTGATGGCAGAGAGTGGGTTGGACGTTACCCTAGGGTAAGCCTAGGATGGGATTAGTGCAGCGAGCAGTAGTAGTGAGAAGGACTTATTGAAGTCAAGGCAATCCTTAAGGAAAGTACAGATAGATGTGGAAGGTAGTATGGGCCTGTACTACTAAAAGCAAAGGATCCGTACTTGAGTCAAGGAGGGTTGAGATAGAACCAGGGAACTTGTAGAGTATGTGAGACCTCTCGAGATTATGTATGACCCTGACGATTATATGTTTTGTTTCAGAATGGTGGTGACACGTCACAGAGCAGGAGGTTCAGGGTCCAGATCAGGTTCAGGTTCGGGTGCGGGTTCCGAGCTAGTTGATGATGGATTACACGAGTTCATCGCGTCAAAGATTACTAGAGGCATCCTTGAGGCGGCCCTGGTGATTTTCGGGTCGATCAAAGAAGAGATCAATGAGCTAATGGAGATCGCCTCATGGTATTCCAGAGTGACATGGCCTCTGGCTAGATAGGGACACACATACTCTCCTTCAAGGATTTCAGGGGATGTGGTGCGCCAGACTTCCATGGGGTGAAGGACCCCATTGTGGCCAGGAGATGGATTGTAGACATAGAGTCTACACAGTTGAGTAGCTTCTGCCCTGAGGGGTCGAAGGTCTGGTATGCTGAAGGTTGTTTGAGAGACAAAGTTAGGGAGTGTTGGGAGGCAGTCAGTGATTCATTGGGAGCCCCAACCATTGAGGCTATGACTTTGTCGAACTTTGTGACCAGGTTTACAGCTGAGTTTGTGCCAGCTGTGGAGATCCAATAGTTAGCCAGGGAGTTTCTTGATATGAGGTAGAGGACTGAGTCGGTGACGGAGATTACCGCCACATTCAGGGAGAGGGCCTTACTCCTACCTCGGTATGCAAGTGCTGAGGAGATGAGGAAAACCTGGTACTACGATATGTTGAGAGCTAACATCCGGAAACATGTCAGCTACTTCGCAAGATCGACTTTGGAGTACATGATATCCAGGGAGAGAGGGAGGGAGATTGATATAGAGAACATCAGGAAGAGGAAGGCGGATGCTGGGCATGTGATTTGGGTTTCAGAGAAGAAACCCAAGGGATCTGACTCTAGGTTGAAGGCCCAGCAGGGCCGGAGCCACTGTGGGAAATAAGGCAAGACTCGTGAGGGAGTTTGTAGATTGGGGTCATCGGGCTGATATAAGTGCAGCAAGCTTGGGCACTTTGGTAAGGATTATACTGCCCCTAACCCCACCCTTCAGAAATCAAACCTGGTTTGCTTCCATTGCAATCAGAAGAGCCATAAAATGGCCAACTGCCCTAGACTGACATCAGGAGCACCAGTGGCGGCGCTAGCTCCAGCAACCCTACGGATCACAGATGGCAGACAGGGCAAGACGGATACTCCAGTGGTGAGGAGTTGAGCCTTCCAGACAACCTTCGAGGAGGTGCGTGTTGCACCGGATGTGGTAACAGGTATGTTTTCTTCTCCCTAACTTTTATTACATGTCGGTTATGATATTTATGTGCTATGTTTATGTGTTTTGTTTAGGATCGTTCCATGTGAACGACATCCCAGTATAGGTGTTATTTGATTCGGGGGCTACCCGATCATTTGCCTCTCTTGCACTTAGAAAGAGGTTTTATGAGTCTTCGGGTATGTTGGATTGCCCTTTAGAGGTCAAGATTGTTGATGGTCGAGCTGTCCGGGCATTAGAGGTTTTCAGAGATTGTGTTTTGACGTTGTATAATGAGTGTTACCTCGTGGATTTGATTCTAATTTTATTGCGTGGGAACAAGGTTATCATCGACATGGATTGGCTAAGCCCTAATGGGGCAGTGATCAACTTTGCACAATAGTTGGTACGTGTCAGGACCCTATGTGGGGGAAAGCTGGTGAATCAGGTTCGCAGCATGGACCAGCTATGTGTTCGGCAGTGAGGGCTAGGCGCTACCTTCATTAGGGTTGCACAAGGTATGTCGCCTATGTTATGAATACCCAGGAGGCGGGTAAGTTGACCGTGAGTGATGTACAAGTGGTGCAAGAGTACCCGGACGTATTTCCAGAGGAGGTGCCTGGGATACCTACAGAGAGATAGGTGGAGTTCAGGATCGACCTAGTCCCTGGTGCGGCTCCGATAGCCAAGTCACCATACCGGTTAGCTCCTCCCAAGATGCAGGAGTTGTCTACACTGCTGTAGGAGTTGTTAGACATGGGATTCATTAGGTCGAGTAGTTCGCCCTGGGGATCCCCGATCCTATTTGTGAAGAAGAAGGACGGTTCGCATCGGATGTGTATAGACTACCAGGAGCTGAACAAGGTAATGGTGAAGAATTGTTAAGCACTCCTGAGGATTGATGATCTCTTTGACCAGCTACATGGGGAATCTTGGTTTTCCAAGATAGATTTACGTTCAAGCTACCACCAGATGCGAGTCGGATATGAGGATGTACAGAAGACTGCTTTTTGGACTCGCTATCGCCACTACGAGTTCATGGTGATGCCCTTCGGGCACACTAATTCCCCTACCGCGTTCATGGACCTCATGAACCGTGTATGTAGACCGATGTTGGATCAGTCTGTGATCGTTTTTATTGATCACGTAATGGTTTACTCCAAGACGTAGGAGCAACACGAGGAGCACAAGCGAGAGGTGTTGGAGACCCTAAGGAGGGAGAGCTTGTACGCCAAATTCTCCAAGTGTGAGTTCTAGTTGCATGAGGTGTAGTTTCTAGGGAACCACGTCAACTAGAATGATATTCTGGTCAACCCGGCCAAAGTGGAAGCCATGATGAGATAGGAGGTTCCGAAGTCGCCATTTGAGATTCAAAGTTTCCTCGGTTTAGCAAGCTATTATCGGAGATTCATACAGGATTTCTCCAAGATAGCAGTATCATTGCCTCGGCTGACGAAGAAGGTCATTGTCTTTTGTTGGGGGCCTGAACAGTAGGCAGTGTTCGAAACGTTGAGATAGAATTTGTGTGAGGCGTCGATCTTAGCCCTTCCAGAAGGTGTGGAGGATTTTGTAGTGTACAATGATGTGTCCATTTCAGGTTTGGGCGTAGTATTGATGCAGAGGGGGTATGTCATCGCCTACGCCTCGAGGCAGCTGAAGCCTCACGAGGCAAACTACCCGACGTACGATATGGAATTGAGGGAAGTTGTTTTCGCCCTCAAGATTTTGAGACATTACCTCTATGGGGTCTGTTGTACCATTTACATAGACCTCAAGAGCTTGAGGTACCTCATGGATCAGCCAAATCTAAACATGAGGCAGCGTTGGTGGCTAGATGTGATGAAGGATTATGACTGTGAGATCCTCTACCACCCAAGGAAGGCCAATGTTATGGCCGATACACTGAGCCACAAGGTAGCCTCGATCAGAGACATCTGGTTGAGGATGACAGTGGTGACTCCACTTTTGGAGCGAATCCAAGAGGCACAGGTTGAGGGAATAAACGAGGAGCACCGGAAGTGTAAGTAGATCATTGGCCAGGTGGCCTCGTTTGACTATGACAGTCGTGGGTTGCTGACCCTACATAGGAGGGTTTGGGTTCTGTACTGGGGCGAAGTATGACAAATTCTGATGGATGAGACCCACAAGTCCAGATTTTCCATCCATCCCGGGGCGACGAAGATGTACAGAGATCTTAGTCCAGATTACTGGTGGCCCTGCATGAAGTAGTATGTAGCATGGTACTTCGAGAGATGCCTGACCTACAGAAAGTTCAAGGCATTGCACCGGAGGTCGCAAACCATGATGTAGACATTGGATATCCCAGTGTAGAAGTGGGAGGATATCACTATGGATTTCATCACGAAACTTCCCAGGAACGCACAGGGAGTGTATTTAATTTGGGTCATCGTGGATTAGTTGACCAAGAGTGCTTATTTCATCCTGATCCAAAAGACAATTTCGGCCAAGAAGCTGGT